AGCTCTCTTACTCTTGGTAAGAATTCAGAAAGGTTTCATGAAGGAAGAGATAACTAAATGGAGACCTAAACGATGAGTAACAGCTAATAAAGTGAAGAGAGATGGGGGATTAGAAAGAGCATTCTAGGTAGAGAAAAAGAGCACCTGCAAAGGCTCAAAGGCAACATACAGTACAGTGTTCTCAAGACTCCCAACTAGTTGGCTTTGGCTAAAGTGTAAGAACTTTTTTAAAGTGTAAGAAGCAACGCTGTAAGTCATGTTGAGAAATGTGCATTACAGGTCGCTCACACCTGTAATCCTAACACCTTGGGGGGTCGAGGTGGGTGGAATGCCTGAAGTCAAGAGTTAGAGACCAGCCTGGGCAACATGGCAAAACCCCGTCTCTACTAAAAACACAAAAATCAGCCAGGCAAGGTGGTACGTGCCTGTAATCCCAGCTACTCGGGAGGCTGAGGTAGGAGAATCGCCTGAACCCGGGAGATGCAGGTTGCAGTGAGCCAAGATTGTGCCACTTCTTACCAGCCTAAGTGTAAGAGCGAAACTCTGTCTGGGAAGCAAACAAACAAACAATCCAACAACATGTATTTATCCAGAGGGCTATAGGGAAATCACTGAATGGATTTCGAGACGAGGAAGACATCTGAATGCTAGAAAGTACACTGGTTGTTAGGGCTGGATGAGGTGGCTCACACCTGTAATCCCAACACTTTAAGAGGCTGAGGTGGGAAGATTGCTTGATGCCAAGAGTTCAAGACCAGCCTGGCAATGCAGTGAGACCTTGTCTCTACTAAAAATCAGAAACATTAGCTGGGCATGGTGATGTGCACCTGCAGTCCCAGCTACTCAGGAGGCTGAGGCAGAAGGCTTGCTCTAGTCCAGGAGACTGAGGCTGCAGTGAGCTATGATCACACCACTACACTCCAGCCTGGGTGACAGAGCAAGACCCTGTCTCAAAAAAAAAGAACACTGGATCTCATGTGACAAAAAGACATCACGACACTAGAAGATCAACATACAGCTACAAGACTGCAGCTACAATCCAAGTGAGAGATGACGGTGGCCTAGGCAGTAGCAATGGCCAGAAGAGAGAAGCAGATAGATGCAATGGATATTTAGGAGATGGAGTTTAATGACAGACTGGACAACAGGGAGAGAGATGGGATGTAGTTAGGGAGACAAACCCACATTTCTACTGAACAAGTTGATTGTGGAGCCTTTACAGAGAAAGGAAATGCAGGGAGAATGGGTCTGAGGGAAAAGATGAATTCAGTTTGGGACAATGAGAGGCTTGAGGGGCTTCTGTGTCATCCAAGCAAAGATGCTCAGCAAGCATAGACAGATACACTGTTCTGTAACTGGGCTTGGGATGAAGATAGATATTTCAGAATTATCAGCCTTTGGATAGTATTGGAAGCCATGGAGGCAGATAAGCTTGCACGGGAAGCCATGGTAGTGTGAGAAGAGGGCATAAGCAGAACAGTTGCCATAGGCTGTCAATTTGGGGTCTAAAACACATTGAGGGGAAAAAAGCCTCCTTTTTCTTGAATTCTTCTCGATTATCTAGAAATAGACTAGCTAAAGAAGTAATGCAGTGTTGACTCTGGTTCCCATGCGGACCCTTCCGGCCAGTACCTACAATGTAACTGTCTCACACAAAAAGTTTTAAACTTTTCTTAAAGTGGCATCAATTAAAATAAAGGACACTAAACTTCCAGGGACACAAACAAATGCTGCCTTCAGATTTACCAGATGGTAGAACTTGAGCCTTCCGACTAAATTTTTTTCTTGGCATTCTTCCAAATTAAATTTAGCATCCAACGTTTTGTGTTTGCAATTAAATAGATACATAAGAAAAATAATGTCCACATTTACAAATGAGCAACTTTTGCTCAAGCTCACAGACCAAAAGAAGGCATGAACTTTGAAACTTCATTGCTATGTGACTTCATTGCTATAGGCATGTTACTTATAATCACTCTGAACCTGTATCTTCTTGTGTAAAAAGTGGATAATATACAAAATATCTGTTCAGTTTCAAAAAACTAGAAGTTATTATGCAATATGAGGACCTTCCTTCTGCCCTTCCTCATTTTGCTTGGATACAGAATCAAGGGTGGTACAATGGACCTAAGGTGCAAATGACAATTCTGAGGTCATGCCTCCTGGCATCTGCTATGAACTTCACAGTACCTACTGACCCAGCTATGACTGCTCCGAACCTTTCCTGCTTTTCTCTAATTCTTAGAAGAACCCTAGGAGGATTCTAGGGTATGAGAGGAGCTGTGCAGGATGGCTGGGTAACTTTTTAGTTTCTGAGCTTCTTCGGTATCTGGGGAAGAGAAAATTAATTAGGAAGAGAATCAGATGAGGCTGGGAAGTCCTAGCGACCTGAGATGAGAGCTCTGTTTCAGAGCCTGTTCCTTACAGCTGTCTGGTAAAAAGAGCACTTTTCTGAACTGAAAAGCAACACCAAATCTTGAATGCCAACCCACTTGGTCATACAGGTTAACTGTGTATACAGACCTGTGCAGGTTATGTCACCAACGGTTACTCTGAAGGTGAAAGTGGGTACGTGTATTTGCACATCAGATCTTTCACATTCATAAACCGGGATGTTCTTGGTCTTCATGCCGTATTCGTGTAATACCTGAATCGGTGTTTTCCCTGGCTTAGCTGTTATCATCTTCCCCAAACTGCAAAAACCAGAAAAAGGTGTGCTTTGCATGCCAAATTGGAGATTAAAGCAGAAGCGTGCAGAGGCCAGTTTTGACCGCCACCGACGATGACGCTGGAGGCGCGGAGTTCCCCGGCGGCCAGGGCCACAGCTGGCGAGGCTGGGGCGCACCTGTCTTCCGGCCCCGCTGCGACAGTCACCCCGCTGGGGCAAGCGCGGGTGAGCGAGGTCTTTAGAGAAAGAACTTGAATGCGGGTAAGAGATTCTCAACAGAACAGGGCTGGCAGCAGCGCCGCAGCCTCAGGAACAATCGCAGGAGCCGTTCCCGGGCGCGGCGACCGCGCACCACCTCCGCCAGCCCCGCGCACCTCCGGGGGCCAAGAGAGGGGCGGGGCCCGGCCGCAGACCCCAACCCGCGCCGCCGAGAGGGCGGGGCCGAGCGCCCGCAGCCGCGGAGGTTGGGCGGCCGGGCAGGGGCTTTACCCAGAATGCTGCTGGAGGGCCGGATCCCCGAGCCCCGGCCCCGCCTCCCGACGCTCCCGGCCCTGGGGCCCGGACTACCCGCACGCTGACCTGAAGGTCCCGCTGTCCTCGCGCTCCAGCGGCGGGGCCTCGGCGCGGTGCCTGCTCTGGGACATGGCGAGAAAGGACGGCTCAGCGGCGGGAGGAAGAGCGGTGCGGAGCAACGTGGTTGCTCCCCGGGTCCCCAGGAGGAGCTCTAGCGCCACCGCCTCCTCTAGCTCCCCCTGCTACTGCCTGCGTTCCTCCGGCGAGGGGGCGGGCGGGGCGGGGGCGGAGCCTTGGTGCCGTAGCTCCGGCTACGCCCCCTCGCTGCCCAGCTCTGGGCCACTGTCCCGGCCCAGACCCGCCCCTGTCCCCTCCAGGGTCCTTCCCCTCCCCGCCCGGCTCCGCCCCCCTGGGCTCGGGCATTTAGGCTCCCGTGGCTTCACTGCGTCCGCCCTTGCCGGCCCTGGCCAGCCCGCAGTAACTGGCCCCCAGGCCGCAGTTTTTTGTCCTTAGCAGGAGGCCGTTTCTTGCCCGGAGAGAGGAATTGTCCAGCGTGGGTCTAGGGTGTTTGAGGCCTGAAGTTAAGCCTTTGTGGGGAGGACGGATTGGGGGCTGGGTCACTTTAGGAAAACGATTTCAAAATAACGAAGGTGGAATTGCTAGGGAGACTCCCCGGGCCCGGTCCCGAAGCTTGAGACCCGGGATATATCTGCCCCAGGGGGCTGCGGTGGGCTCTCCGGGTCCCCGAGCCCTGTGTTTAGGAACATTCGGAGACGTCCAGTGACCCCTCCTCTCCCGACAGGCGGGCTCCTCTGTCTTCTGGGTTTTCGTCGCGGGATGGAACGCTGGTCAGTGCATCCCAGCAAAACACGTTAGGCGTAAACAAAGGCCTTTCTCAGGTCCTGTGGTGTTATGGCGTTTGCCTGGGATGCAGCACCTTTTGTGGGCCATTAGATGTTGTGTCTCTTCTCCAGGGGCTTGCTAGGCATTTGCAGAAATGCCCCCCTGTGCTTACCGTGTGTTCTGGAAGATTGCTTTGTACAATGCTATTCATACGAAAGGATGTTACTAAAAGTGATTTATGGCCGGGCGCGGTGTCTCACCTGTAATCTCAGCACTTTTGGAGGCCAAGGCGGGCGGATCGCTTGAGGTCATTTGCTCGAAACCAGCCTGGACAACAAGGTGAAACCCTGTCTCTACTAAGAATACAAAAATTAGTTGGGAGTGGTGGTGTGCACCTGTAATCCCAGTTACTTGGGAGGCTGAGGCAGGAGAATCGCTTAAACACGGGAGGCGTATGTTGCAATGAGCGGAGATCGCGTCCCTGCACTCCAGCCTGGGCGACAGAGGGAGACTTTGTCTCAAAAAAAGAGAAGTGCTTTCTTATTTTGTTAGCATGTGAGCTCTGGATGTTTGAAAGCAAGTGAAAGATGTTCAGAATCTAATCAAATGATATCGTTTGATGCTTTAATTAGAGCTTATTCTCTTTTCCTCTCCATTATCGTCTATATATGTATGAATAGAGATTACTATCCATCACTGTTTTAATGGGTATCTTATTGGAAGGGCTACACAGTCACTATTTCAAAATATATTAACGTACGCATAACACCTATGGAAAAACATTTCAGCACTTGGGTAAAATTCATTTTTAGTTACAAAATCACTTAAAAACAGGCCAAAACTTTAAATTGCTCTTGTTAAAAGTTGAATAACTGGGATAATAATGATGAAATAAAAAGATGCAGCAGGACTCCATTTCAAAGAAACAGAGTCTGTGTGCCAAACTTCAGAGTAAGAAATCACTAGGTAATAGTTTATATAGTTACTTATATGTAATGTGGCTTTGCGTTTAAAATAAAGATCTGCATATAATTGTTTATAGTCTGTGAATTCATATTTAATATTAAACACAGTTTGGTAAACATATAAGATGGAAGGTGAATGAAATGCTCAGTGAACTGTGTACCATGAGGATTCAAAACAGCACTTTTGTGTTGCCAAAATTCCAGTGGTGGACTTGTGAAGGGATTCCCTTTGGATTAGGTCCACTATAGATGGTATCCGGGACTATTGCTAGTGCCTAAATTGCATTGCTTCCCACAGGGCTATATGCTTCCCTTAAAATTGGTCCACCGCCAGTGGCAAATCACTATCTACTGTGATCCTTATCATAGACTTTGGTCATATTTTTATGTTATTAGTTTTTTGTGTATATTTTAGTGCTATAGCCTGCTATTCCAAATTAAACATGCTCTTAGCATATCATTTTACACCGTTGATCTATAATTCATTACCTGAGCACATGAGCAGAGGCAGTGAATTATACAGCGGTAAACTACTTGGTGAAACCAAGCTTTGTATTTATAAGGTGTATAATTATATTTAAAAACAAGCAATGCTTAATTTTGTGCCTGATTTTCCTCTTTGAAAATGAATTTATCTGGGGGTTGCAGTTGATGACGTTTTCATGTTAATATGTTTGCTGCTGCTACCAAGAGCTTTGTCAAGCAAGTTGGAGATGGAGGGAGATTAGTTCCTGTTCCAAGCCTCAGTGAAGCTGACAAATATCAACCTCTAAGTCTGGTGGTAAAAAAGAAGCGATGCTTTCTGTTTCCTAGATATAAATTTACTTCAACACCTTTTACACTGAAAGATATTCTCTTAGGAGACAGAGAAATTTCAGCTGGTAAGTTTAAATGTTTCAGAGTGACAACTCAGTCATTGGTATTATTGGTAAGCTAAACATAGGTTATATATCCTACTTACATTAGTAATACACATTCTCAATGATTAAAGCATCATTTATTATGATGGTAGTAGTAACATTATTAAGATCAACAATGCCAAAAGCTTATATAATATCAAATCTCTTATTGGTCAAATAATTTTCAAATCTATCAATTATTTTATAAATTGTTTTAACCAAGTCAATGTAGAATATGGCATATTCATCTATAAAATGGGGTATTATTGGGCTTACCTATCTTATATGGTCAAATGAGATGAAAGTAATTTGTATTGATTTTTTACAATTCAATTGTTATTATTGGTAAACTGAAATGTATTTGAAGGGTAGGTTATATAATAAATTGATATTTTAATGAGTTACTGCTTATAAACACTTATTTTTTCTTTTAATCACCCAGTGGATCTTGATGCTTAATAAGTTCTGTTGGCTGAACAGAAAATTTGAGTTCCTTTTAAGATTTCTGGCTATGTTTCTTTTTGTTGTAAGATTAATTGAATTACTATTTTAAATCTTGGTGAGTCATGTTGCCTTTCTCTAACATTTGTGTAATTGAGTCTTCAATTGTGAATTAACATGTTACTATATATAATCTACATAAGATAAATTAAAGACATTTTGAAAATACTAAGTTTCTTCTTGTAAAGGTATTTCATCTTATCAATTACTGAATTATGAAGATGAATCGGATGTTTCACTCTATGGAAGGCGAGGAAACCATATTGTAAATGACGTTGGGATTAATGTTACTGGATCAGATTCCATTGCAGTGAAAGCTTCATTTGGTATAGTAACCAAACATGAAGTGGAAGTATCAACATTACTCAAAGAAATTACTACACGGTCAGTATAATAATCCTAATACATTTCAGTGTTTTCATTAAATACTTTAGCCATATAAACTTCATTTCAAAGAATGTTTAAAACATTGAGGTTGTATTTTACTATTGTAATTTGCTAGATATGTTTGAAATACATTAATACTATATTCAAACTTTGAATAAGGATAAATATCAAAAATCATTTGGCTTAAACAAAATTTTTAATTGTTCCACAAAATTACTTTGGCTCTGCACACATTTGCTAAATTATTAGACTGAAGTAATACAGGAGTCTGTCTGCAACAAATATGGAGTCCCCTTCAACAGACTTTCAACAGACAGTTGAAAGTCTTATATTCTATATAAGCATGTTTTAAGAAAATAGAAAGCAGAAACAAATTATGACATATCTTTTGGATGTATTTTCTGACTATTAGGCTTGCCTTGATTTACTATTAGTTGAACTATGAATGAACAACACGTGATAGCAAAAAATGTCCTTGATTATATGTAATTAGATGTTATAGAGTCTTGTGAATGTATCTTCTTTATTTTAGAAAAATTAACTTTGATCACAGCTTGATACGTCAGTCAAGGAGCAGCAGAAAGGCAGTATTGTGTGTGGTCATGGAGAGCATCCGAACCACACGACAGTGCTCGCTGTCTGTGCATGCTGGAATTCGAGGAGAAGCAATGCGGGTAAACCACACTCATTGGTCTTCTCTTACTAAGTAAAATGTTGCCATGGGAATTTTTTACAAGTATGGAATTCCTAGTCAGATTTGTGTATTTTGTCAAATGTTTTGATGAAAGAGCTGTAGTTGCATAGGATTTTGCACAGTAATGTCTGTTCTAGAATATGGAAAAAAAAAACTTGGATTCTAAATGTGTGTAATATAATGCAAAAACACTAAAGCTTGTGAAATTATGTGCATACTGGAGTCCGTCAAATTACTATTTAAGTGTTATTTTAAGAATAAAAAAATTGAGTGTTTGAGTTTATTTTTAAGTTATATAGTTTTTGGCCGGGCACAGTGGCTCACGCCTGTAAACCTAGCATTTTGGGTTGCTGAGGCGGGCAGATCACTTGCAATCAGGAGTTCTAGCCCAACTTGGGCAACATAGTGAAACCCTGTCTTTACTAAAAATACAAAAATTAGCCAGGTGTGGTGGTGCACCCCTGTAATCCCAGCCACTCAAGAAGCTGAGGCACAAGAATCGCTTAAACTTGGGAGGTAGAGGTTGCAGAGAGCCAAGATTGTGCCACTGCACTCCAACCTGGGTGACAGAGCAAGACTCTGTCTCACAAAAAAAAAGTAACATAATGCAAAAACAGTAATCCTTGTGAAATTATGTGCATATTGGAGTCCCTCATATTACTATTTAGGTGCTGTTTTAAGAATAAAAATTGAGTGCTTAAGTTGAATTGATTTTATTTTTCAGTGATAGAGTTTTTACACTTTGAATTTTTAAAAGCCGAATTTCTATTTTTATATTCAAATAGTTTTTTAAAGTTAATACTATCAATGGCCAAACATGCTTTATTCAAGATTAGTTAAATCCTTTACAAAATATTAGAGGCTATGATCATGCCACTGCACTCCAGCCTGGGTGACAGATTATAGGTGGATCATGTCTGTAATCCCAGTGCTTAGGAAGACTGAGATAGGAAGGTGACCTGAGGCCGGGAGTTCAAGACCAACCTGAGCAAAATAGAGACCCTGTCTCTACAAAAAAATTTAAAAAAAAATTAGCAGGGTATGGTGACATGTGCCTTTAGTCCCAGCTACTTGGGAGGCTGAGGCAGGGGGCTGCCTGCAGGGTGTTGGGTCCTTGTCTTTTTGAATTTGGGAGCCTTTGAAAAGCCATGGGCCTTCCCACTGCTATTGTGTCAGGGAAGATGTGGCAGCCACTTCTCTGAACCACCCTTTTGCCTTCGGACTTCTCGGCGGCCAGCAGCTGCCTGACCAGGGGCCTGGAGCCACGGGCTGAGCTGATGACCATGGGCTCGATGTCCAACCAGCAGTTTGCAGGTTTGAGCTCGGGACTTAGAGAGGACACCTTAGGATGCAGGGGTGGCCAGTAGGTCAAGGTTATGGTGAGCTATGATTGTACCACTGCACTCCAGCTTGGGTAACAGAGAGAGACCCTGTCTCTGAAAAAAGAAATTTTTTTAATTTTCAGCTAAATTATGATAGTGTTTATCTTTGTCATTCAGTGACACCTAATAATGACCTGATTGGATTAAAATAATTGTTGCCAGGTGGGTGGATCACGAGGTCAAGAGATCGAGACCATCCTGGTCAACATGGTGAAACCCCGTCTCTACTGAAAATACAAAAAATTAGCTGGGCATGGTGGCGCGTGCCTGTAATCCCAGCTACTCAGGAGGCTGAGGCAGGAGAATTACCTGCACCCAGGAGGCGGAGGTTGCGGTGAGCCGAGATCGCGCCATTGCACTCCAGCCTGGGTAACAAGAGCGAAACTCCGTCTCAAAAAAAAAAAAAAAAGGATTCAAGGATAATCTTTTCAAGTCTTTGCAAATAAAAGTTATGTTCAGTACCTATATTCAGCTACCTGTCAAATTCTGATTAACATTGGATCATTTTTGAGGCAGAAACTGAAACATTTACTTGATTGTTGGCGATTGCTTTGGAAAGCAACTAAAAGCTCTGGGGAGGCTTTGGAATGGTAGACAGACTAGGCTAAAAACTTTAACTCCAGCACTGCTTTCTAAGATTTGCTATCAAAAAAAAGCTTCTACTCCAGAGCATTATGGTTGTGGTAGCACTAATCATGGGCTGGAATACTAAAGTAAGTGAAAAAGTGCAGAGGTGTTTTCTAAGATAGACTAGGAGTTTCTGTTGGACCTATTGGATCTCTGCTATAAAAAATGGTTTAATTCAAGAAGAATAATTCTTTATTAGGGAATTTCTTGCTTTGTTTTTGAATTATAGGACATGTTTGTTTCTCCAAAAAGCTATTCTTACATGATATAATCCTTAATAATGTTTTTCATTTATTCAATATAGTTTCACTTTATGGATGAACAGAATCCCAAGGGAAGGGACAAAGCTATTGTTTTCCCAGCACATACAACCATAGCTTTCAGTGTTTTTGAACTCTTCATATACCTGGATGGTGCCTTTGGTGAGTTAAGGGTCTGCATGAAATACAAATGATTATATTTTTAAGGTGCATTTAATAGGGTCTCTCTCTCTCTCTCTCTCTCTCTCTCTCTCTCACCAATTATAGAAGATGCTTTCAGCACTGTCAATCTTATGCTTGGGTGAAATAGCTGGGAAAGGCCCTCCCTTCCCTGCTTCCCCATTCCTCTTTTCTACTTCTTGGTGAAGGTTGTAAACTCTCCACTACTCCATTTAAAATTATAAAAGCTAAAATACCATCTACTGACAAAGCATTCCTTAGCTTACATGGGGAGATAATAAATGACCTTCTCATAGGTAGTTTTTGATGGTGGTAAACAGAGGAATAGGTAGATAGTAGGATGCCTGAAGTGTTAGGATGCTCAAACCAGGGCATCTAAAGACAGCTTTTCTTACATCAGTTTTACTTATCATAAACCCAGCTTCCCCTTGTACTCTTCCTAAAAAAGAACTTTAAAAGTAAAATTACTTCCTATAAAATTGTTACCTTGTATAATATCTAGGTGCAGCTCATTTTAGGTCTCTACATTTCACAGATCTTTAAGGTTTGTTGGCCAGCTGGAACAAGTCCAGGTGTAGCCCAAAGGATCAGGAAAGGGAGCCCCTAGCCATGGTAATTGACAAATGTTTTTAGAACTGTTTTTGTTCATTCCTGCAATTTTATAGAAGGAGGGAATAGGAAGTTCAGAAAAAAAACAAAACTTCATGTTAAGTAAATTTTTTTTTCTTTTTTTTGAGATGGGGTTTTACTCCTGTTGCCCAGGCTGGAGTGCAATGGTGTGTGATCTGGGCTCACCGCAACCTCTGCCTCCTGGGTTCAAGTGATTCTCCTGCCTCAGCCTCCCAAGTAGCTGAGATTACAGGCATGTACCCTGTATGCCCAGCTAATTTTGTATTTTTAGTAGAGATAGGGTTTTGCCATGTTGGGTAGGTGGGTCTTGAACTCTCGACCTCAGGTGATCTGCCTGCTTCGGTCTCCCAAAGTGCTGGGATTATAGGCATGAGCCACCATGCCCCGGCAAGTAAATTGTTTTTTAAAAGAAATATTTTTAATTTTTGTGGCTATATAATATATATATATTTATGGGGTACATGAGATATTTTGATACAGGCATACAGTGCATAATAATCACATCATGGAAAATGGGTTATCTGTTCCCTCAAGCATTTATCCTTTGTGTTACAAACAATCCAATTATACTCTTTTAGTTATTTTAAAATGTACAAATTCTAAGATGGAGAAAAAACCGTACAATTATATTATTTTGACTGTAGTCACCCTGTTATGCTTTCAAATACTAGGTCTTATTAAGTAAATTATAATTGGATAACTTTAGGTTTTTACAGTTTTATTGATGGTTGGGAAGAATGTAAATGGACTGATACATCTGAAAGAATTTAAAATATATGTATAATTTGGACTTCCACTTCTAGGAATTTATCCTACAGATATATTTACACATATATGAAATTATATGAGTACCAGTATATTCAGTACTCAATAACAAGAGATTGGAAGCAATTATAAGGAGACTAAATAATGATGCATCCTTACAACAGAATACTATGAAGCAATTAGAGTATATAATACTTTTAAGAGAGATTTTTAAAGAGCTGAGTATCATATGTAACTATTTGGGTATAAATAATTTTATATACCTACATGTATACTTACATCTTCCTTTATGCTTGTAAAATATATGGAGTATTTCTGGAAGCATACACAAGAAACTTAAACAATGGGTGCCCCTGAGCCCGTGAGGTAGAAGACTGTGTGTGGCAGGATTCAGGGTGGGCTAGAGACTTATTTGTTGCTGTATCTCCTTTTGGTATGAATTGTGTACTGCGTGAATGTTACCGTTTCCAAAAGTATGTAAAAGTGAACTTAAAACACAATGAATGATTAGCACCAGAATTCATCACCCCATCAAACAATAAAATATGAATTGTTCAAGTTATAACATCTTCTAAAATTTTTTTTGTAGACCTTTGTGTCACTTCAGTGTCAAAAGGAGGATTTGAAAAGGAAGAAACAGCAACATTTGCACTGCTCTACAGATTGAGAAATATACTGTTTGAAAGAAGTATGTCCATTGAGGAGTACTATGTCTTTTTTTTGTTTGTTTCCTGGCCTAACACGTGATGTTATCCATTCAGTAATCCCATCTGTTAAGGAAAATTTTAAATTTAAAAGTCTGGCTGGTATGGTGGCTCATGCCTATAATCCCAGCACTTTGGGAGGCCAAGGCAGGCAGATTGCTAGGGCTCAGAAGTTTGAAACCAGCCTGGGCAATGTGGCAAAACCACATCTGTACAAATCATTAAAAAAAAAAAAAATTGATTGTGGTGATGTGCACCTGTAGTCCCAGCTACTTGGGAGGCTGAGGTGGGAGGATCACTTGAGCTTCAGAGGTAGAGGTTGTAGTAAGTGGAGTTTGAGCCACCGCACTCCAGCTTGGGTGACAGAGCCAGACCCTGTCTCAAAAAAGAAAAAAAAAAACCAGCCAAATTATTTCATGACTAATGGATTCACATATTTATTAATGCTATTTGCGTTATGTATTTTTCATTTTGACTTCTAACACATTTCTGTTCTGCTTTTGTCCTTTTAGATAGAAGAGTGATGGATGTCATTTCTCGTTCACAGCTTTACTTGGATGATCTTTTTTCTGACTACTATGATAAACCTCTCAGCATGACTGATATTTCACTCAAAGAAGGGACCCATATCCGAGTTAACTTACTTAATCACAACATTCCCAAAGGGCCTTGCATACTCTGTGGAATGGGGAACTTCAAAAGGGAGACAGTTTATGGGTGCTTCCAGTGTTCTGTGGATGGTCAGAAGTATGTGAGACTTCATGCAGTTCCTTGTTTTGATATTTGGCACAAGAGGATGAAATAAAATGAAAAGTGAATATACCATCTTGGTGTTTTAGATGCAGTTGTGCCACAAACCTTCCCTAAATTATCTAGGTTTGCTTGGATGAGTTAAATTAAAACAAGAAAAGAAAAAAGAAATTAACCTGTCTGGGTATCATATTCTGTAGGGAATCCATGAGCCTGTCACGTTGGTGCACCAGAATGTAGGGATCCACGAGCCCCACATTGGGCACCAGAATGTAGGGAGCCAGCCCTACATCACCCGTGGGTAACCCAAGTCCAGTGGCAACAAAGGAATGAGAAAGACAGATAAAGAGAAAAAGTGGGACCAGGGGACCATCACTTTATTACTCTGGAGATGACAGTGAAGGCCCCAAGCTCTGCTCATCCACACTATTTAATGATTACAATCACTTTGATCTATAGGGTAGGGGTGGAATGATGGTGGGATGAATCAGTGAGCCTGAAGTGAATCCGTGAGCTGGAACTGGTGTATCATCCTAAGGATTGATGACAGTGGCAGTTTGGGAGTTTCGCAACAGAGAACATGTGGTTATCTTTAACTTATTATTTATGTGCAGCTGGTGGAATGTGGGCCTTACAAAGAGCCTACAAGTCTGGCTATGTCACAGTGCTATGAAGGAGTTTTACATCCTTGAGCACAAAGTTTATGGTAGCAGAGCCGAGGTCACCCTGCACCAGAACATGAGGCATGGAGAGGCCTTCCTCCTCAGAGGCCTCCTGTGGCCTTCTGCAGTTTGTTTTTCCTTGTTTATCTGTTACTTATAACCAATTTATGTAAGCACTCTCTAAATCCTTTCTCCTTTGCAGTGTTTCCCAACAATATTCCCCATCTATAAAGTAGAGATGATGACAATAGTGTCTATTTCTTAGGTTGTCATGAAAATTAATAACATTGTTTATATCAAAAAAGATTTACATATAAAATTCAGAATAGAGATGTTCTTTTATAAACTTGCCAGTCACTTAATCATTTTTGGGATGTAGTCTATCATTTTAGATAACTTTTTATATAATTAAGAGATTTTTCTAAATATCAATTTTATTTTCAATCAACTTTCAATGCAACATCTGATGACAAGAGTGCATAAGTAGCAACTTTATGGTGCTTCAACTATTGCCTTTGGTATGGTAAAATGAGAAAAATGTGTTAATAATTTAAAGTAATCCTAAATGTTTAATTGCAGTATCAAATTGAAAGCACACTCAACTCAACATGGGATTTTGTATACACAGTTAACAAGGTGACTGATAGTCGTAATGGGCTGCTATTCTATGATATGTGTGTGCTCACGAGTTTTGTCTTCATAAAACTCACTACTGTCATTGTAAAGTTAAGGCAGGTAAGACATGTCTGTTTCTTTGAAAATGTTTAAAACATTTAACGTATTCAGTTCTGAAAGATCTTTTTAATCTACGCTGTTAAGAAAAATGAATTTTTCATATACAACCTAAATTACTTACAATTTATTTACTTACCTTTATTAAAATAATTGTAAAATGAATGTTAAAAGTCTAGAACTCAAAATGTAGTCATAGCACTCAATGCCATATATATGCATATTGAGACAAAGCAATCATGGAGATATGAAATACTTTACACTGTACTGTATGTAGAATGATTAGAAATTTATTTTTAATTATGTAAACACAAGTTTTAGAATGAATCATCTCCCTGTTCATGTGGCATTATCTGTCATTTTTAAAAAACAAGTTTAAAAGCACTTTGTATGAAAAATAATGGGACAAAAAGATTAGAATTACAAAGTTTAGATTATAGAGTGACTTATTAATATGGATACAGAGAATGGAGACAGGTTCCAAACTAAAATAAAGAACATTGAGTTACTTAGTTTACTTCAACAAAGCAGGTTTTCCTGAGGGAAGGCAATCAAAGAATAAATGATTAAACACATGATAAAGTGTTAGAAAATTGAGCATAGAAATGAAGGAATATTGGGAGGAAGAAAAAGATAGTACAGATTTTTGTTTTATGAGGTGTCAAATTATGTGCTAGCCATATGTGTTATTTACTAATCTCATCATGGTTTTACACCTATATATACTTTTTTTTTTGTACCTACTCATCTGAAAGCCCACTATTTTTAAATGGAATTTTTGACAGTGTAAAGGAGTTAAAGGATGAATAATGGTTTGGAAAGAGCAAGTTTCAGAAGGTAGAAAAAACTTTACTTCTTTGGAACTCAATTATTTTGAACAGAGCTATTTACCGTCTGACCATACTTTCCTATATATGCAGTGCATTAGTCCATCTTCACACAGCTATAAAGAACTGCCCAAGACTTGGTAATTTGTGGGTTTTGTTGTTGTTGTTGTTTGTTTTTGTTTTTGAGATGGAGTTTTGCTCTTATTGCCCAGGCTGGAGTGCAATGGTTCGATCTTGGCTCACCGCAACCTCTGCTTCCTGGGTTCAAGCATTCTCCTTCCTCAGCCTCTGGAGTAGCTGGGATTACAGACTATGCCCGGCTAATTTTGTATTTTTAGTAGAGACAGAATTGCTCCATGTTGGTCAGGCTGGTCTGGAACTCCTGACCTCGGGTGATCCACTCGCCTCAGCCTCTCAAAGTGAAGTGAGGGATTACAGGCATGAACCACCACGCCTGGCCTGCTAAGACTTGGTAATTTGTAAAGGAAAGAAGTTAAATTGACTCAGTTTCCCATGGCTGGGGAGGCCTCAGGAGATTTACAATCATGGTGGAAGGCGGGAAAGCAAAGCACCTTCTTCACAAGGTGGCAGGAGGGAGAATGAACGCAGGAGGAACTATCAAACACTTATAAAACAAACAGATATCATGAGAACTCACTATCATGAGAACAGCACGGGGGAAACCGCCCCCATGATTCAATTACCTCCACCTGGTCTCTCCATTGACGTGGGGATTATGGAAATTATGGGGATTACACAAAATGAGATTTGGGTGGAACACAAAGCCCAACCATATCATGCAGTATGCAAAATCTTCTATGTTCCAATAGACATGTGCCCCTTCTTTGGTACCAACGTGATCTTCTACAGCATCTCTTACATGCTATTCTCAAGTCATACGACATCATAACTTGGACATGACACAGAAATGCTAAGGCATTGTATATCCTCATTTGTTTGGCACATTTATAAACATTTGAGAGCATACCAATTTGTAACGATCATTCCTCATTAATGAGAAGAATGATGGGAAATGAGGTGACATAAGGGAAGAGATACCTAGAGAAAGGGAATGGAAACTAAGAAATTCCATGGCATCAATTTAAAACTATCAAGACAAAAGCTTGGGGTGGCAGATATCTTATAAACGTTTATAAGAGGGAAGGGGAGTTGCAAATTTATAATAACGTCTGAAGGAATACAAGATCCAGGCAGTAGATACTTTATGCTTGCTATAAGAGGCAAAATGTCTTTGGTTTGGTCAAATATCTTTAAACATTCTCCATTGGAAAATACCCAAGGCTGGAAGCTTACAAAAAGTACAGAGACTGTGTTGAGGTTCTTTTTGGAACAGAGATATACAACTTTCTTCCTCCACATATACCGAACGAAGACTCTTTAGTTCTAGGATTTTTATAACCTCTTCATACTGTTATAAAATGTATAAATAGGCCAGGCATGGTGGCTCAGGCCTGCAATCCCAGCACTTTGGCTGAGGCGGGCAGATCACCTGAAGTCAGGTGTTTTGAGACCAGCCTGACCAACATGGAGAAACCCCGTCTCTACTAAAAATATAACATTAGTCAGGCATGGTGGTGCATGCCTGTAATCCCAGCTACTTGGGAGGCTGAGGCAGAAGAATTGCTTGAACCTGGGAGGCAGAGGTTGTGGTGAGCCAAGATTGCGCCATTGCACTCCAACCCGGGCAACAAGAGTGAAACCCCACCTCAAAATGAATAAATAAATAAATAAATGAAATGTATAAACAAGTGAAATGCTACTTCCTGGGTACTTAATGAATATTTTTAAAATATGAGGCACTTTAACTTTTAAAATGTGTAAAACAATTGGATATAACATGTTTACACATGCTGGCAAGGTTAAAGTTGGGAAGAGCTTGCAGTTTCTGACATATTATACATGTCCTCCTACATCCTGAAGGGAAAGAAATGCCCACTGGGACATAGGAGTCTGTTTCATGTTGCTACAATTCTTGTTTACAGAATAAAGCAATAGGAAACACAATCATACCATTCCTGCAAGTTTGCAAAACAGCTTCATATTTATTATACCAAAATCATATATGTATTGGGGTATCAAAATATTTTCTCATAGGGGAAAAATAGAAAATACAACTTGGAGAAAAGTGACTTTGTTTCATACATAAAGTACAGTAAATAGCTGAAAAATCTAGAAATACAAATATGCTATAGTTCATCGTGTTGGTACACATTGTATTCCTTGGGCGAAATGAAGCCATCGCCATCATGGTCATTCTTCTTAAAAATATCTTCTAAAACTGCATCCTGATATGACTTGTCACGTGGCTTCTTATCTTTTTCAAAATCCCTTTGCAAGTAGAGATTTATCTGGAAGGCCAAAATAACATTCCTTTAATTAAACAGTATCACAGTAAATTTCCAGTAGCTTTGAGAAATGTTTATAATAATGACACTCATATCCAAGATGACTTATAGTAAATGATGCAACATTTTGAAAAGCTATTTGAGGTTGTATTTTTCTTACTCTTTGAAGCAATGTTTTGGAGAGAAACAGGTCTTCAAATTAGTTTTCCCTGAGATGATAGATGGTTAGTGGTGCATACTCAAAGACTGATATTTAAAATGAATTTTGTTGAAATTAAATGCTTTCTAATAATCTGTGCTGTTTATTTTATCAAAGGAAAATCATTCATGACTGCCATTAGTGAACGAAACTCAAACTGGCATTTCTATAATCTCTAAAACTAATGAGTATGTTGTATAATCAATAAAACTCAACCATGGGTTTAGAAATAAAATTTAGTGTTTTAAGTTTTTCTGTGCTTCCATAGCTCTCCTCCAAATCTATATAACTAAAATAATCTCTCTAATATGTCAAATAAAGAATGAAATCCTGAAGTATTCACTAATTCTCTATGTAATATAAAATTTCTCTATGCAAACACACATTAAAAATATTGTCTGGCCGGGCGTGTTTGCTCACGCCTGTAATCCCAGCACTTTGGGAGGTTGAGGCAGGCGGATCACCTGAGGTTGGGAGTTTGAGACCAGCTTGACTAACATGGAGAAACCCTATCTCTACTAAAAATACAAAATTACCCGGGTGTGGTGGTACATGCTTGTAATCCCAGCTGCTCGATAGGCTGAGGTGGGAGATTCTCTTGAACCGGGAGGCAGAGGTTGCGGTGAGCTGAGATTGCTCCATTGCACTCCAGCCTGGTCAACAAGACTGAAACTTTGTCTCAAAAAAAAAAAAAAAGCCAAAAAAAAAAAAAAAAAAAATTAGCCAGGTACTGTGACTGGCACTTGGAATCCCAGCTACTCAGGAGGCTGAGGCAGGAGAATAGCTTGAACTGGGAGGTGGAGGTTGCAGTGAGCTGAGATTGCAACACTGCACTCCAGACTGGGTGACAGAATGAAAAAAAAAAAGTATTGCCCAATATAGTAGCCATTAGCCACATGTAACTAATAAGCACTTGAAATATGGCTAGATCGTATTGAGATATGTTACTATAAATGTAAAATATGTAACAGATTTTGAAGATTTCAAAAGTATATCTTATTGGAAACTTTTACATTGATCTATTGAAATAGCAATATATTAAATATATTGAGTGAAGATAGATCATTAAAATCAATTTCACTGATATCTTTTTACTTTTTAAGATGTGCCTATAAAAAATTTAAAGTTATATGTGTAACTAAATTATATTTCCATTGGAAAGCACTAATCTTTATAATTACTAAAGAAGGCAACGCACAATCATCTGGAGGTAATGTTCAGTAAGGCTGGCATTACAGAGGCAAGAGTATTTTTGAAAGCTAGAGTTTGAGAGGTTTTTAGCAATACATATCTCAGGGTCAACCCATTGCAAGTAGACTTTATTTTAGAGCAATCAGTGGACCTTAATGAAGGATATATCAACTGTTCTCAAATGGGACTTTTGAGCGAGACACATTTTTTTCTTCTAGCTGGAGCTTAGCAATCCTATGTGGTGTAAATCATTTTTAATAGCTTCAAATATTTCTCAGTTTCTAAGTTAGTCAATTAATTTTTTCATTTCACTCGACTCCTTTTCCAGCACACTATAGAACAGAGGTATACAAAGACAGTTGGTAAGAACATGACCTTAATTTTGCTAGTAATGGGTTCCACACTATTTTCCACTTTTTAATTTAATAAAATACTGTATTTCCCCCATTTTCATTAATATTAAAGAAATATTTTTTCTTTGTTGTTGTTGTTGTTTTGAGACCAAATCTTATTCTGTCGCCCAGGCTGGAGTGCAATGGTGCAATCGCAGCTCACTGCAACCTTTGCCTCCCGGATTCAAGTGATTCAGCCTCAGCCTCCTGAGTAGCTGGGATTACAGGCGCCCGCCACTATGCACAGCTAATTTTTGTATTTTTAGTAGAGATGGAGTTTTACCATGCTGGTCAGGTTGGTCTCGAACTCCTGACTTCAGGTGATCTGCCCGCCTCAGCCTCCCAAAATGCTGGGATTACAAGCGTGAGCTACTGCGCTCAGCCCCTCTTTCTTTTTTAACTGTTCCTTCCTGCACACTGATGAAATAGATTAATCTTTCTGACAATGAATAAAATTGTTTTTATTTTTAGTTCATGTTTCAAATTCAGCCTTTGCCTTAGATTTGCTGTGTGTTCTTGTGCAAATTAACCTCTCTGAACCTCAGTTTTGTCCTCTGTAAAAGGAGGTAAGTAAGTAGTTATATTTTAGGACTGATGTGAGGACTAGAATAATGATTATGACCATCAATAAAAAATAGCTATTGTTATTCAAGTGAGTAAAAATCACTCTCGTCCATCTGGCAATAAAGCAGCTGATATAACATAGACAACTGGAAAAATTGTAGCTAAGTAGATTACTATTTTGGATTGTGTCTATTTTTATTTTCCAGAAAATAACTTAAGATCCCCTAATGTCTTACTGAGAAGTATTCATACTGCAGAACATGGTTCTTGGTGTGCCTGTGATAATAAGTGGTCTGTGTGCACAGGCTGAGCTCTTGGGTACCATGTGAATTTGTCTGCAGCTGCTATTGACTCTAAAAAAGGGTGATAAGGAGTCAGTAGAGAAGTACACATTGGGAACAATATGCCACCCTTGTAACTGCTTTTCTTCTTAAGAACAGGAAATGTTCCCTTCTCTTTCTTCCATTGTTGGCCAACCAAGTTGCCTGAAGAGAAAGTCATTACTAATATCCTGGTGTAAGAAGTTGAACTGGGTGGGGAAAGGATTGGCAAGGGAGATGAAAAAGACTCAACATCACTTGAAATCAGCTCAGTTATCTTTTACTATTCACTTAGGTGGTAGAGTTATGTATTTTGAAATGCCTCCAAATTAGCTAAGAGGGGAGATAGCTGATTTACTCATGTTAAGCAAAAGTATGGTCAGTGGGACTGAGTAAGACAGTAGACTTTAATAAATAGTATTAGACTTGAGGTCAGGCGCAGTGGCTTACACCTGTAATCCAAGCACTTTGGGAGGCTGAGGTGGGCGGTTCATGAGATCAGGAGATCGAGGCCATACTGGCCAACATGGTGAAACCCCATCTCTATTAAAAATACAAAAAAATTAGCTGTGTATGGTGGTGCATGCCTTGTAGTTCCAGCTACTCAAAAGCCCGAGGCAGGAGAATCGCTCAAACCCAGGAGGTGGAGATAGCAGTGAGCCAAGATCGCACCACTGCACTACTGCCTGGGCAGCAGTGTAAGATTCCGTCTAAAACAAAACAAAACAAAACAAAACAAAACAAAACACACACACACACACATATATATATATGGTATTAGACTTGAAACATTCATGATTTTCTCTGAAAGAAGCAGTCTGGACCCAAAGTTAAACATACAGTAGTGGGCCAGGAATGGTGGTTCACATCTGTAATCCCAGCACTTTGGGAAGCTGAGGCAAGAGAATCACTTGCGGCCAAGAGCTCGAGACCAGCCTGGGCCACATAGTGAGACTCCATCTCTCCAAAAAAGAAAAAAAAAACATTAGCTGGGTATGGTGGCATGCTGGGGTGATCACTTGTGCCCAGGGGCTCAAGGGTGCAGTGAGCTATGATCACTCTACTGCTTCCTGGCATGGGCAACAGAGCAAGACCCTGTCTCTAAGAAAAATTTAAAAAATTAAAATGTAAGAACAGTCATGAAGCCAGATTGTCCAGGTTATAATCCTGGTTTTGCCCCTTACTACTATGATATTTTTGGCTAGTTAACCTGAGTGTCATTTTCCCCATCTACAAAGTGGAGATGATGACAATAGTCTCTATTCCATAAACTATCATGAAGATTTGATAAGTTCATATACTTATGTGCTTATAAGTAGTAACTGGTACTAAAATTACAAAATAAAAGTTATCTATTACCTTTTGTTTTTTGGAGACAAGGTCTCAGTCTATCTTCCAGGCTGGAGTACAGTAGGGCCCAAGCGACCTTCCTACCTCAGCCTCCTGAGTAGCTGGGACTATAGGTATGCACCACCATGCCTGGCTAATTTTATTAAATTTTTTATAGAGATGGGGGTCTCCCTATATTGCCTCGGCTGGTCTTGAACTCTTGGGCTCAAGCAATCCTACCACCTTGGCCTTCCAAAGTGTTGAGATTATAGGCATGAGCCACGCTCCCAGGGCAATTATCATTATTATTACAAGATCTTTATTACAAGACTGAGATACAGAAGTTAGCTGGCTAAACTCCTTGCTCCTGTTTACCAACTTTCTAGCTCACTCAATTCAGATCCTTGCTAGCTCTTTTCATAATCCCATGTCCTCCTCATAATCCTATGAGGCGTGAATTATTTGCCCTGTTACAAATTCTTACAGTGCTGCCTGAAAAAGAGATACGCTAGTGTAGTCTAGAAACTGGAAGAGCACTGTAGAGATGAATAATTCAAGATTTTAATGACTCTCTTGCAGGTAGAAAGGCAACTGAACAGGATGACTCACAAGGTTTATACTGAAAGAGCTTACAGCTTTTTCTAAGAGCTTAGATATTTTTTTTTAGTGACCAGCTCTATAAAAGCAGTGATCAGAGCCCATGTTAGCTAGACCTAAAAAATAATAGTTGTAACACATGTATGTAAACTGTGATTAAAAAAATTAGACTATACACACGAAATTGGTTTGAATTACCTCGGCTTTAGAGAGCTGTCTGTCATTATCCGTGTCTATCTGTTTAAATGTCTCAATGCTCCGTGGTCCTTTGGTCACAGCATAAAGTTCAATCTCAAAAATCAGAGTAGCGTCAGGAGGAATCTTGCCTTGTGCTAAGGGTATAAATTTTAACAGTTTAACTTACATTAAGATATGTTTCAAATATTTATTCATAAACTGCCATAACCATATTATATTATTTCATGTTGATAAGAATTGCTATCTGAATATTTAAAAATTTAATGTTTTCTCATCTTTCATAACTTTTTTTGCCTTTTCAATGGTTTTCTTTTTTGTTTTTTTTTATAAATACTTTTTTAGGAATTTTTTTCCCATATGTTTTTAAATCAAGTCAATTCAAAGGACTTATAGGACCACTATTTCTTGCTTTATTTAAGTGCAAATCATAAACTTTTTATTAATACATGGATAGGACTCTCCACATCTGTGGGTTCTGCATCTGTGGATTCACCAGTCTTGGCTTGAAAATATTCATACAAAAAAAGGAGAGTTGTGTCTGTAATGAACTTGTACAGACTTTTTTCTTGTCATTATTTCCTAACCAAGATAATAACATTTTACATAACATTTACATTGTACTAGATATTATAAGTAACCTAGAGATAATTTAAAGTACATGGGAAGATGTGCAGAGGTTAAATGCAAATATGATGCCATTTTATATCAGGAGCTTGAGCTTCTGTGGATTTTGGAATCCATGAGAAGGTCTTGGAACCAATCTCTAACAGGTTCTAAGGGACAACTGTACTCTCCTATGGAGATGCATGGGCAGGAAAGTTTCAAAGCATAAATGAGTAATCTTTTAGAAAATGATTTTGTTTAGCTATTTGGAAGCATAAATAAAACATAAGTATCAATATATTTGTCTTTCAAATTTTCTATAGACATTAAAAAATAAGTACAACGATAGAAAAATCCAGTAACAGGCCAGGCATGGTGGCTCGTGTGTGTAATCCCAGCATTTTGGGAGACTGAGACAGGAGGATCACTTGAGTTCAAGACCAACCTGGGCAACGCAGTGAGACCCGGTCTCTATTAAAAAAAAAAAAAAGAATTAAAAATAAGAGAAAAATTCAGTAACAATTTTACAAAGAAATTCCTAATCACAATACACACTTTTAAGCATTAAGTTAAATACCTCTCTTTATTTTTATTTTTATATTTTTATTTATATTTATTTATTTATTTATTTTTGAGATAGTCTCACTCTGTCTCCTAGGCTGGAGTACAGTGGTGCTCTCTCTGCTCACTGCAGCCTCCGTCTCCCAGGTTCAAGCCATTCTCCTGCCTCAGCCTCCTGAGTAGCTAGGATTACAGGTGCACACCAGGCACTGTATTACTAGTAAGGACAGGGTTTTGCCACATCGGCCAGGCTGGTCTTGAACTCCTGACCTCAGGTGATCTGCCGCCTTGGCCTCCCAAAGTGGTAGGATTATAGATGTGAGCCACTGCACCTGGCCAGAATAGCTCTCTTTAATTAAGTTAACCTATTAGTTGATGTCACAGATTTTTTTTTTTTTTTTTTTTTGAGACACTAGTCTTCCTCTGTTGCCCAGGCTGGAGTGCAATGGTGTGATCTCGGCTTAATGTAACTTCTGCCTCCTGGGTACAAGCATTTCTCCTGCCCCAGCTTCCCAAGTAGCTGGGATTACAGGTGCCCACCACCATGCCCGGCTAATAGTAGGGACGGTTTTTACTTTTAAAAGAGACGGGGTTTTAGTAGGGATGGGGTTTCACCACATTGGCCAGGCTGGTCTCAAACTCCTGACCTCAAATGATCCACTGGCTCAGCCTCCCAAAGTGCTGGGATTATAGGCGTGTGCCACCGTGCCAGGCCATGATGTCACAGATGGTTTTTAATAAGCTATGGGCTACTTCAGATAAACATTTCATAAAAATGACCTGCAGAAATGACTTGCTAAGGAGCAGCTGGTTGCTTGTGTCATCAGTATATTGCCAGTGTCCCACACAGTGACTGGTCTGTTATAGGCAGTCCAATATTTGCCAAATGAATGACCCATATCACTTAATTTTAAAATGTTTGTGCTTGGAAGGAAACAGCAATTTCTTTAATAAAAAAGTGAAGCAATATTGCCGAAGTCTTTATATAATCTGAAGAGGAAAGAGTTTGTGAGTTATAGACAAAAAGAGTAGCAGATTAGTAGTTTTCAAAGAGAGAACATAGAAAGATCTACCCATGCATCATATGACTAATGTAAAAATCCTCACCTAATGCACCACATATTACCTGACTTTAAAGTAGAATGCTAGAGATTGAGTCAATGATCATTTTATAAAACCCATTCCTATTTTGCCCAGTTATAATCTCCTTATGACAGAAAAACAACTCCTGACAATAGTTCAAGGCAAATTCCAAACACAAATTCAAATTTATTTATTTACTTTTTGAGACAGAATCTGCTCTGTTGCCCAGGCTTTAGTACAGTGGCACGATCTCGACTCACTGCAACCTCCACCTCCTGAGTTCAAGTGATTCTCCTGTCTCAGCCTTTCGAGTAGCTGGGAATACAGGTGCATACCACCACATCCTGCTATTTCTTGTATTTTTAGTAGGTATCAGGTTTTCCACCTGCCTCGGCCTCCCAAAGTGCTAGGATTACAGGTGTGAGCCACTGCACCCAGCCCAAAATACAAATTCAAATTTCTTAAGAAAAAATATCATAGGTACATATGCAGTTTCTGAACAATTTTGCTGTAAACATAGAAAATATTGGCCAGGTGCAGTGGTTCACCCCTGCAATCCCAGCACTTTGGGAGGCTGAAATGGGTCAATCACCTGAGGCCAGGAGTTCAAGATCAGCCTGGCCAATATGGTGAAACCCTGTATTTACTAAAAATACAAAAACTAGCTGAGGCATGTGCCTGTCATCCCAGCTACTCAGAGGCTGAGGCAGGAGAATTGCTTGAACCCTGGAGGCAGAGGCTGCAGTGAGCCAAGATTGCACCACTGCACTCCAGCCTGGACGAGAGTGAGATTATGTCTCAAAAAAAAAAAAAAAGAATATATTGCCAATTACTTCTTTTTCATTTGTTACAGAACTACTTATGTTTAGAGAAGCAGATCAAAGAAGTAGAAGTTAAGGTAAAGAATATATACATACCACATATATTGTTATTTAAGCACTAAAAAGTCACATGCATTTCAAGACATGCGGGGGTGCTCTGTGACATGAGACAAGGATATATTGCCGAAGAAAGACTTCTTCAAGTACTACCTAAAATAAAGTTATAGCTAATGTTAGGTCTTAATAACAAATTACTTTTAAAAGGTTACTTAGTCAAGAAGTTGTCTGTTTAACAGTTACTTAAGATCTACACTGCAACTTTTAAAATAATGTAATCCAAGGTATTGTAATACAGGCAAGGCCAGTATTCACTATGGTCCAATTACCATACTTTTTGGGCCTCAGTTTCCTTACCTGTAAAATGGGGGTGCTGGTGGTATTACTATTAAATTTATCACTTTAATGTTTGTTAGAGATACCTCCAATTGAATATGTACTTGTTTCATGTCAAACTTCTATATCTCTGCAGCAAGTTTCTGATTTATTAAGAGCTTAGGCAGCCTGGGTAGTCATTCATATCTAAGCATAAATTAGTTTATGAAAAGGATAAGCTAAGTAATCCTTTGCCTGATGGTAGTGGACGCTGCATGAGCACCTGATGATGACAGATGTGGGTGCTCTAGATGGGAGAGTGCGTGCTCTGGTGGTAGGCAGAATGTGGAGGCATCTGATGACACAACACAAGACAGAAAGGAAAACTTTGAAAATGAAGAAGAGACTGAAAGGCAAACTTTGCCTACGTCACTTTGCCTAGAAGTGGTCTCAACTTTTGACAACATTTTTAGCACAACTATTGCATTGAACTTAATTTATTTTCAATTTTCTTTCTCTTTCTCCCAGGTTCCTATACAAATAAAAACAGGATATATAAATTATGGTGCCATGGGAGCTATTCTGATGGGATCAAATTATTGGCAAAAAGCATTAAAAATAAAGCCGAAGTTATCTGGAAATTGTCTCTTTAGGAGTTTTAAGCCCGACTGGGTCTGACTTGCAGCACTGACCTCCCCCCAATCCAATGTGTGACACTGATGCCCCAATTTTGCTGGAAATAACTCTTTTTTTAAAAGATACTTTAAGTCTTTAAAAGTGTGCAGATCGTGCATGATTGTTACATAGGTATACACATGCCATGGTGGTTTGCTGCATCCATCCCCCCATCACCTACATTAGGTATTTCTCCTAATGAAATAACTCTTAATGACTAAGACAACTGCCTCAAACGAGGCATGCCACTTCCATGAAATATTTGGGAGCAATGCCAATATCTCATTTTGGAAAATCTAACTGTATGCTATTTCAAATAGGTGGAGTTAGCAGTGGCTCTAAATAGGATAAGGAGGCAGAGATTCTTTCTGTATAGCCTTCAAGCAGCAACCGGGAGCAAGGACATAGCTAGGCATGCAAGGTGTCTGTCTGTCAGGCTGCCCATCCTCTCTGCCTGCTTTACAATTTTTCTTCTCTATTCTGCTACACTTAATTTTTGTAATTTAAAAATTTAATTTTGGAAAAATCAATACATGCACGATAAAAATTTCAAATGGTACAAAATGTTAGAGTGAAAAGAAATCTTCTCATCCTTGACCCAGAGGCCTCCTTCCCAGGAACACTTAATGTTATCAGATGACTGCATATTCTCCCAGATGTATTCTGTGTAGATACATGCATATGTGAAACTCCTCCTCTGAAGTACAAGCTCATAGAGGATTGGGAGTCGTGTCTACTTTGGCCACTGCTTTATGCCCAGTGCCTAGAACAAAGTCTGGCACTGATGCTCAATATATATCCCCAAAGTGGAATATAGTCTAGTTCACTTTTTTTTTTTTTTTTTTTTTGACAGGGTCTTGCTCTGCTGCCCAGGTTGGAGTGCAGTGGCAAGACAGATCACAGCTCACTGTAGCCTCAACCTCTTGGGCTCAAGGGATCCTCCCATCTCAGCACCCTGAGTAGCTGTGAGCACAGGCAGATACCACCACTCCTGGCTAACTTTTTAATTTTTTATAAAGATGGGGTCTCCCTACATTGCCCAGGCTGCTTTCAGACTCCTGGGCTCAAGTGATACTCCCACCTTAGCCTTTCAAAGTGCTGGGATTATACGCATGAAGCCACCATGCCTGGCCTCTACTTTATTTTTAACATATTAATAAGTGTAGCTCTACTTCATTCTTTTTACTGGTTGCACAGTACTTCATTGTATAGATATACTATAATTTATTTAACTAATTTCCTATTGATGGATAAGCAGGTGGTTTCCAGCCATTTGCTACCTTCTCCCCCCAAAATGCCTGCAGTGAATTTTCTTTTACATATATCGTTGTGCACATTTCTGGAAATGGAACTGGATAAGAAGATATGTGCATTTTCATTTTTTTCTCTTGAGATGGAGTCTTGCTCTGTCACCCAGGCTGGAGTGCAGTGGCCCAATCTCAGCTCACTGCAACTTCTACCTCCCGGGTTCAAGCGATTCTCCTGCCTCAGCCTCCGGAGTAGCTGGGAGTACAGGTGCACTTCACCACACCCATCCAATGTTTCTATTTTTAGTAGAAACAAGGTTTCACCATATTGGCCAGACTGCTCTTGAACTCCCAACCTCAAGTGATCCACCTACCTCAGCCTCCCAAAGTGCTGGGATTACAGGCGTGAGCCACCATGCCTGGCCTGTATTTTCACTTTTGATGACAATTGTTAGAGAGCTTGAATGATTTACATTCCCAGCAATGGTGCTGGTTTTTCCATGCTTTCGCCAAGTTGTTTTTGTCTTTGGGAATCTAATGAGTGAAATATGGTGTCTCATTTTTGTTTTAATTTATCTTTAATTGTAAAGAAAAGTAGGTATTCTCATACACTTAAAGGCCATTTGTAGTTTTTTGTTAGTGGGCTGCTTATTTATGAATTTGGCTCATTTCTAGGGATATATCCTTTTCATTATTGGTTAGTAAGTCTTCATACATGTTACAAGTATTTTCCCATTTATTTGCTTTATCTAGGTTTTCAGATCTTTTTGCTCTAGGATTTTTAAAAATAGGCAACATATTGAAGAAATAAGATCATTTCTTGCACATTTGAAAGCTTGTCCTGTATTGGGGTAATAGTGACTGGCAGATTACTATATCTCAGATATTCCTTTTACAACGTGCCATTGCTGTCCTTTTATGCTAAACCCACATGTTCTGGTTTCTGAGTTTTACAAATTTAACTTGGGTACTGCTTACCTAAGGTCTGTGTTATAAACATTTATGTAATAATAACATATGCTGAAAACAAATAAAAATGCCTAAGGTAGAGCTTATAGAATATATACAATCATCATAATGTTGCCACAATGTAGAAGAAAGAACTCTGGCCAAAGATCTATATTCCAACGATGTCATGTTATCTTTAAAAGCAAAAAGAGGGGACTGGAGTGAACTAGATATAGCTGAAGGTCATTGGGTTCTATAGTTCCTTATTTCATCTTTTTATTTTTATTTATTTTACTTTTTTGTTTTTAATTGTGGTAAAATATACATAACATAAAATTTACCTTCACAACGATTTTCAAGTGTGTTGTTCAGTAAAGTATGCTTACACTGCCATGCAACCAATCTCCAGAACTCTTTTCATTGGGCAAAACTGAAACTCTATACCCACTGGCCAACACTTCCCCTTTTCCCTCTCACTTCCGCCTTTATCAATCACCCTTCTACTTTGTCTCTACTAATCTGTCTACTCTAGGTACCTCACATAAGTGGAATTATACAGTATTTGTCTTTTTGTGACTGGTTTATTTCATTTGGCATAATGTCCTTAAGGTTGATACATGCTGGTGCATGTCTCAAAATTTTCTTCCTTTTTAAGGCTGAATAATATTCCACTCCATTTTTCTTTTTTTGTAGAGCAGGGTCTTGCTGTTGCTCAGCCTGGTCCTGGCCTCAAGTGATCCTATCCACCTTGGCCTCTCAGAGTGTTGGGATTACATGCATGAGCCACTGTGCCTGGCTTCCATATATGCATATATTCATCTTGTTTATCCATTTCTCTATCTATGGACATGTGGGTTGCTTCCATCTCTTGGCTATTGTACATGGCTGCTATGAGCATGGCTGTACCAGTATTTCTTTGAGACTGTGCTTTCAATTCTTTCAGACATATATACCCAGAAACCTATGAATTATTTTTTAAATATAACTCCAACAAGAAATTAAAATTAAACATCTTACCATAGCCTTCCTTTCCATATGCAAATGAAGGGGGTATAACTACTTTTCGCTTTTCTCCAGGGCACATATCCATCATAGCAATGTCTAGGCCTTTTATGACTTGCCCAACACCAAGAACAAACCATTTGGGGTGGCCTTCATTTTGTGTCCGGCTATAATAAAAAACAATACTTAAGTAAACTGATTTCAAGAAATCAAACTTGAAAATACAGCTGGGCGTTTAAAATTGAAATCCTCTCTAATCATCATTCCCACATAAGCACTCTTTCTAAAACCCTTAATGGGGTATTTGACTCAAACTTGAAGTATAATTTGCCCAAAGCTAATCATTAAGAGCCATCTCATTTTTAAAAATTGTTTTCTTTAGAAAAACTATTCAACAGTTAACTTTTTTTTTTTTTTTTTGAGATGTTGTCTCACTCTGTCATCAGGCTGGAGTGCAGTGGCGTGATCTTGGCTCACTGCAATCTCTGCCTCCCGGGTTCAGGCAATTCTCCTGCCTCGGGCTCCCGAGTAGTTGGGACTACAGGCACGCACCACCATGCCCAGCTAATCTTGGTATTCAACAGTTAATCTTTTAATGGGTCTCCAGCCCCTAACTAGCTGCATGGCTTGTACAAAGAACTCATTTAACTTCTCTGAGTTTGTTGTAAAAAATGATGGGGCAGGTTTAGCTTTAAAAAGTCATTTTAGCCGGGCGCGGTGGCTCAAGCCTGTAATCCCAGCACTTTGGGAGGCCGAGGCGGGTGGATCACGAGGTCAAGAGTTCAAGACTATCCTGGTCAAAATGGTGAAACCCCGTCTCTACTAAAAATACAAAAAATGAGCTGGGCATGGTGGCGCGTGCCTGTAATCCCAGCTACTCGGGAGGCTGAGGCAGGAGAATTGCCTGAACCCAGGAGGCGGAGGTTGCGGTGAGCCGAGATTGCGCCATTGCACTCCAGCCTGGGTAACAAGATCGAAACTCCGACTCAAAAAAAAAAAAAAAAA